GACGGATCTCCTGTGGACATTTTCGCCAAAAGTACGTTTTTGTTTTGAAATGCTAGCAACATGTACTGTTGTACAGATTCCAGCACTGATCATCAAAAAAACTCCTCGTGGCATTCACACCAGAGTCATGGTTGTGTCGTTTGTAGTTTATTTGCTTGTGAGTGTGGCCTGCCCAGAGTTTTTTTTTTTTTTTTTTTTTTAATAGTTCTGATGAGAAACCATAGTAGCTATGTATACATTCTAAAGCTAACGAGTGAAACACAAATTAAGTAACACACTAATCAGTGCGTAAATCAGTTTGTTTGATTTACAAAGATTAGATTAACCAAGCAGTCTAACTGTACTAGCTTCACACACTCACTAGAGGCACAAACGATATCTCCTACTTCCTTCCAAGCTTTAATTTTCTTCGTAACGTCAGAGAGGTCGTATATGACGGGAAGATGAAAAACATGGTTATAAGTTTTTCTTCCACTGCTGCACATCAGAATATAGGGAGAAACTAAAGCTGTGAGCGGGGAACTGAAGAAATGTCGGACCACGCGCGCCGTAGGATTGGTCGTTTGAATTTGTCACTTTACAGCATCAAATCTCACTTTGAATCGCTGAAATCGCAGCTCCGTGTCACGCACGTACGTAGAAAATGATCGATCGTCTGTCGCTCTTTCACTTGTTAGCTCTTTTCAGTTCATATGAGATGGTTCTAGTTGCAAGTTTTGAAAATACATTTAACATAGATATATATATATATACATTTTTTTCTCCAAACGTCGCAGCGAAACACATGGAGGTGAAGTGACTTGCCTCAACTGTAGTTTCTTTCTGTAAACAGAGCTGTCGAGGGTTTTCAGTGAAGTAGGTCATTAACATGCAGTGAGACTCACCGTATCCGGTTGATCGTGTTTTCGGTGTTGACGTGGTGCCGTGCTCTCCTGTCCCTCAGTCCGAGCATTCCACCTGAAGTACGATGAAGCACGCATGGACCCCAATGTGCAGAAATGGGACGTGGCCGTGCTGGAGCTGAGCCACCACAAGCGCCACCTGGACCGACCCGTCTTCCTGCGCTTCTGGGAGACACTGGACAGGTACAACATCAATACAACACAACAACAACAACACAATGTCACTGAGTGATAAAGATGGTGTTCATGAGGTGTGTGAAAGAGAGGACTGTGTGTTGTATGAAAGATTAAATATACTGATGGGGAGGGGGTGTGTGTGGAGTGTAATAGTGGTAAATGTGGAGGTATATAGGGTGTGTTGTTTTGTGTGTCTTTGTCTGTGTGTCTGTCTTTTGTGTGCCTTTGCCTATATGTGTGTGTCTGTCTTTTTCAATTCAATTTTATTTGTATAGCACTTTTAACAATGGACATTGTCACAAAGCAGCTTTACAGAAATATATAAATTCAGGATCTCAATTTTAAATTTATGAATTTATCCCTAATGAGCACTCCAGAGGCGACAGTGGAAAGGGAAAACTCCCTGACACAATATGAAGAAGACTCAAAAGGGAACCCATCCTCATCTGGGTGACACCGGATAGTGCGAATATAAATAAAATATTTTTGTCTGTCAGTGTCTTTTTGTATCTGTGGCCCTATCTGTGTTTGTCTTTTATGTGTTGTAAGCATACAGAACAGCCAATACAATAAACTTAAAGTACACACTGTTTACGCTGTATACATTTCAAACTACACTATATGGACAAAAGTATTGGGACACCTGACTATTACACCAACAGAGACTTTAATGACATCGCATTCTAAATACATTAATATGGAGTTGGTCCCCCCCCTTTGCAGCTATAACAGCTTCCACTCTTCTGGGCAGGCTTTCCACAAGATTTTGGAGTGTTTCTGTGGGAATTTTTGCCCATTCATCCAGTAGAGCATTTGTGAGGTCAGGCACTGATGTTGGACGAGAAGGCCTGGCTCGCAATCTCCATTGAAGTTCATCCCAAAGGTGTTCGATGGGGTTGAGGTCAGGGCTTTGTGCGGACCAGTCAAGTTTTTCCACACCAAACTCATCCAACCATTATGGATCTTGCTTTGTGCACTGGGGCACAGTCATGCTGGAATAGAAAAGGGCCTTCCCCAAACTGTTCCCACAAAGTTGGAAGCATAGCATTGTCCCAAACGTCTTGGTATGCTGAAGCATTAACATTTCCCTTCACTGGAAGTAAGGGGCCCAGCCCCTGATAAACAGCCCCATACCATTATCCCTTCCTCCACCAAACTTTACAGTTGGCCCAATGAAGTCAGGCAGGTAACGTTCTCCTGGCATCCGCCAAACCCAGACTCGCCCATCAGACTGCCAAACAGAGAAGCGTGATTCATCACTCCACAGAACACGTTTCCACTGCTCCAGAGTCCAGTGGCAGCGTGCTTTACACCACTCCATCCGACGCTTGGCATTGTACTTGGTGATGTGAGGCTTGCATGCAGCTGGTCGGCCATGGAAACCCATTCCATGAAGCTCCCGCCGCACAGTTTTTGTGCTGATATTAATGCCAGTGGAAGTTTGGAACTCTTCAGCTATGGAATCAGCAGAGCATTGGTGACGCGCCATGCGCCTCAGCACTCGGTGACCCCACTCTGTGACTTTACGTGGTCTTCCGCTTCGTGGCTGAGGTGCTGCTGTTCCTACGTTTCCACTTTCCAATAATAGCACTTACAGTTGTCCGTAGAATATCTAGCAGGGATGAAATTTCACGAACTGACTTATTGCAAAGGTGGCATCCTATCACAGTACCACGCTTGAATTCGCCGAGCTCTTCAGAACGACCCATTTTTTTCACAAATGTTTGTAAATGCAGACTGCATGGCTAGGTGCTTGATTTTATACACCTGTGGCAATGGGTGTGATTGAAACTCCTAAATTCAATAATTAAGAGGTGTGTCCCAATACGTTTGTCCGTATAGTGTATATCCACTACATACTTTTTCCTTTCGTACTTAAATCCTCTGTGTTTTGTTTGTTTGTTTGTTTACAGGTACATGGTGAAACACAAGTCACACTTACGCTTCTGAATCCGCTTTATCATCATCTACAAAATCAACGTGTGGATTCGCCTTGATGCAGCCAGCAGCACTTTTAGTCAGGCATTCAACAACATCGAGGGTGTGTGTGAGAGGGGGTGTGGGTGTGTGTGTGTGTGTGTGTGTGTGGGACAGAGATAAAGAGTGAGCTTATCCAGTTTGTTTTCCATGCAGCTGTGTGTGAGGGGGAAAAAAGATCTCGGAGAGGAAATGAGATCATTTAGAAGTGTCTTCTTTTTTCATTACTGTTCATTTCTTTTGGGGATTTCTTCTTCTTTTTTTTCTCTTTCTTTTTCTTTTTTTTTTTTTTTTTTTTTTTTTTTTTTTTTTTTTTTTTTTTTTTTTTTTTTTTTTTTTTTTTTATGTATTCTGATGTAAAAATGATAAAAGTGGAGACAGTCCCTTACTGAGGTTAATAAAACAACTGCCATTTGTAAAAGTGCTCACTGTAGACTGAGTTTCTTTTCTTCAAGATTTACAGCTCACATGCAGTTAAAAGGTTTATCACGAGGGGGCGCTGTAACACAAGCATTAATTTACACTTCACCTGGACCTTATTTATATAAATCTAAAAAAATAAATAAGGAATGATATTAAGTGACACCACTACAGCTCAAAAAAAAAAAAAAAACTGAACATCTGCACAAAAAATACAAACCTAACACACCCCCAGTTCAACAACAGCACATCAGCGCTACAACTCAACAAGAACAAACAACAACAGCAAAAAACCCTAACACAACATATCACATTTATACCTCAGTGCTGTTGAATCCTGGATTGTGATTGGCCAGAAGTTGTTGATTAATTTTCTATAACAAAAGGTCGGACAGTAGAGCAGGTTTATATTAATGCGCTCGTTCTGACACGTTATCGTTTCCATAGCAACAGCTCATTCACGGGGACGTGTACAGCGGGCGCTCCACATAAACAGATTAAAAAACATTTGATTATTAAACAAAGGAAAAACTTGTAATCATTGATATGTTGATGTTTTCTGTAAGGAGATATTTAACATTTATGAAATGTCAGTGTAAAAGTGTAACTTTGTAACAGTCAGAAGTAAAGCTATGATTAACACACCTGGCGTCACAACAATATTATTCTAAATCATTATAATACATGGTATAATGCCTTTGCTCTCGTTTTGACAGTAATATCTGTTTCTGAGACAAAATCTGATTCTGAATCAAAGACTATCAGCAGAGCATCACTGTGTTTAAGATGATTTCCGTATGGGAACAAACCATGGAGCGATTCTAAATCCAGGCATGTGTCCTTAACAAAAAACTGCTGCTCTTCTGGTGAGATTGCTTTTAAAACATTGCCAATAGGTACACTATATGACCAAAAGTTTGCGGACACCTGACCATAACATTCACACAGCATGTGCTTGTTGAACATCCCATTCCAGATTTAGTCCCAGTTTGCTGTTATCCTCAACTCCTCTGGGAAGGCTTTCCACTAGATTTTGGAGCGTGGCTGTGGGGATTTGCCCATTGAGCCACAAGAGCATTAGTGAGGTCAGGTACTGATGTTGGGCGAGGAGGCCTGGGGGACAGTCACCGTTCCAGTTCATTCCAAAGGTGTCCAGTGGGGTTAAGGTCAGGGCTCTGTACAGGCCACTCGAGTTCTTCCACTCCAACCTTGGCAAAACATGTCTTCATGTGATAATGACAATGTGCCCAGGGGCATTGTCATGCTGGAACAGGTCTGTGCTCCTTAGTTCCAGTGAAGGGAAATTGTAATGTTATAGCCTACAAAGACATTCTATACAATTCTGTGCTTCCAAATTTGTGGCACGAGTTTGGGGAAGAACCACGTATGGGTGTGATGGTCAGGTGTCTGCAAACTTTTGGCTATATAGTGTCTTTGAACTATGAACCAAGTGCATTGTTTGCTCTTGTGGGCATCATAAGACCTGGGCATGGTCCACAACACAACTGACCTCAATGTTAATGTGTCTGCATGGCTGAGTGCTCTAAGGCTCTGTATTCATGTTGCAGTCTCCCCTGGAGGTGTGGGTTCAAATTCCACTTCTGATACTTGGCAATCCATTGTGATGGTGTCTTGAGCCCATACTAAACTCTGTTGTTGCATGTTAATATATTCAAAGAAATCCATTGAAGTCTCCCTGCATAGTTTAGTATGTGTATAGGTAGGTTTGAGCTTTTGTTTGCAAAACGATGGATGAAAACTGGTCATTGCAGGCAATTCTAGGGTTTGTTTTACAGCACTGGCTTGATTTTACAGCACTGCCTATAGATGGTTGCACAGTGAACGAACTACACTGCCTTGTTGTGTTGTTGACGTAAAACCTGAGCATGATCCCTAACTGAAGCCTATAAATTCTGAAACAAAGGGCATTGAAGCATGTTCAGACATTGGTCCACAGAGCAAGGGGACACTTCCGTAGTCGTGGCCGAGTGGTTAAGGCGATGGACTTGAAATCCATTGGGGTCTCCCCGCGCAGGTTCAAATCCTGCCGACTACGTCCCGAATTTAGTTTGTCAAAGGACAGCTGAAACTGGCTTGATTTTACAGCACTGCCCATAGATGGTTGCACAGTGAACCAACTACACTGCCTTGTTGTGATGTTAACATAAAACCTGAGCATGGTCCCAAACTGAAGCCTATTAATTCTGAACTGAAGCCCATTGAAGCAGATTCAGATCTTGAAAAAAATCCACTGAGGTTTCCCAGCACAGGGGTTAATGCTGAAGAGTAGATCTGAGCTGCTGTTTACTAGAAGTTTGAGTACAAGGTTCATTTTACAGCATTGGCTTGATTTTACAGCACTGCCCATAGGTGGTTGCACAACGAACCATCTACACAGCCTTGTTGTATTGTTGATGTAAAACACACAGCCTTAGCTGTTTCTGTAGTTGTGGCCGCGTGGTTAAGGCGATGGACTTGAAATCCATTGGGGTCTCCCCACGCAGGTTCGAATCCTGCCAACTATGGTCTGAGCTTTGGTTTATCAAAGGGCAGCTAAAACCTGGTTTGTGTTGGCTGTTATAACAAACAATGGAGCAATTCAAAATCCAGGCATGTGTCCTTAACAAAAACTGCTGCTCTCCTGGTGAGATTGGGTCAAAGCCTGTTTGTGAAACACTGCAGGGGTTGCTTTTAACACATTGCCCATAGGTATTTGAACTATGAACCAAGTGTATCGCCTGCTTTTGTGGGCAACATAAGACCTTGGCATGGTCCACAACACAACTGGCCTCAACATTAACAGGTCAGGATGGCTGAGCAATCTAAGGTACTGCATTCCAGTCACAGTCTCCCTTAGAGGTGTGGGTTCAAATCCCATTGGTGATATTTGACATTCTATACCATTGGTGATGGTGTATTGAGCCCATACTAAACTCTGTTGTTACCTGTTAAGATATTGAAAGAAATCCATTGAAGTCTCCCTGCATAGTTTAGGATGCTTACAAATAGGTTCGAGCTTTTGTTTGCGAAACAATGGGTGAAAACTGGTCATTGCAGGCAATTCTAGGGTTTGTTTTACAGCACTAGATTGATTTTACAGTACTGCCCATAGATGGTTGCACAACCAAAGACGATCAGCAGAGCATCTCGTTGTTACATGAATTTTTAGTGCTTTGCATCTCTTGAAATGTGACTCCTCATTTCCTTTCCTCGCTTCTTGTCATTATGTTACACCCTGAGTACATATTGAGTAAGAAGCCATTCAGCCTCACTGTGTTTAAAATTATTTGTGTGTGGGAACGAGTTGAAGATTGTGGATTGCTGTGTGGAACATAATCAATGCTAAGAACTACTCAACAACAAGAAATCATTATTGTTGGTAATTGAACAAAAAAAATACATATTTAATATCAATCTGTCCATGGCAGTATAACTCTAAAATTTTAACGGTGCATTAGATTTGTCAAAAAAAAAGGCAAGGTTTGGTCAGTTAAACAGATGGAGTTAAATCAGATTTTAATTATTTTATTACTCCTTCAACCCACCCCCTTTCCACCGATGCACACAAAGCTTCGCCTCTGAGCCTATGGTGGTTCAGCTCAAGTTACCATTAGCATGGACTGCCATGACAACAGTTGGACATTCAACACTATGAACATGCACAATCTGGCTCATACTGATTCACAAGGATGGTCAAAAGTCCTTTGTTTTTTAGTAATGAAAAAAAAAAATTCCAGTCGACCATTCAAACAGTTCAGAGCTTTATACAGATAACATTTACACACTTGTCCAGATGCAACATTGCAGCATAATTCTGCATCCAGCTACACTTGTGCTGAGGCCATGGCTTAAACCATTATATTTATCATGTTTTACATCAGGGGTGTCAAACATAATGAATTTAGAATCTATGTTCTGAATTTAAATCATCTCATGAACAGTAATTAAAATTGGAAAGTTTTGAAAAAAAAAGAGCTAGTCTGTGTTATTTCACTACGACTGCTCCGTATGCAGCCCCAGCAAAGTATTTCAGCAGACTGAACCAAATGCTTGGGAAAAAAAACACATTAGCAGAGCCAGTAAATGTATGAAAAAAAACTGACCATAGTTCGGCAACTCTACACTTGAACCATCCCTGCTTCTGTAGCAGATCTGTTGCAGTTTATCCAGTCACATACATTTATGTCAAATTAGAGACTCACTTCAGTAGGGTCTTTGGGGGACTAGTGGTTAGGCCTTGCTGCTCTCACCGCCGCAGCCCAGGTTTGATTCTTGGCCAGGGAACCAACCCCAGCCACTGGGGTTTTCATAAGACAGTGCACGCCCAGTGCCAATCCCAAGCCTGGATTAAAATTGGGGAGGGTTGTGTCAGGAAGGTCATCCAACTTTAAAACTATACCAAAATCAAATATGTGGACCAATGATCTGCTCTGGCGACCCCTAACGGGAGCAGCCGAAAGAAGAGCACCAACAACAGAGACTTGCTACAGTACTAGAGACATTTGCTCAGAAATGGGTGAATGTTACATCTTTTTGTAGATTCAATTTCATTTATACTTTCCTGGTCAACTAGTGAAGTGACGATGTGGCTTGTTAAAAAGAAAAAAACATGAATGAAAAGATGAACAGACAAAGAAGTTTGCATGTATTCTTCCTGACTCAAGTTGAAAACTGAAGTGTTTGATCTATTCAGTGTCCACGGCATCAAAATGTAAAGTGCCACTGTGAAGCAAAACATAACCACTTTGTTATAACCCACTCACAAAAATCAGTTCTGATGACAAATTAAAATAAAACAAAGTTCAATATAAAACTTCCATTATATATAACTGGATCTTCACAAATTTTAACGGAATATTCCTGCACTAGATGGCAAAATATTCAGGGCTGTAAACTCCACTACTGACAAAATCTGCTAATGATGTGATTTTTGGAGTATAAATTGTGTAAATTGGCCCTGATATTATATTTTCATATCAGTCTAGTCTGTGTGTTCAATTGATTTTTGGAGAATGATTAAAAGATTGAACTTTTTTCTTTTTTGAGTGGGAACAGATGGTAGTTTACATTTAAAAAAATCTATTCTAACTTCTAATTCTTTAGTCAATATTCACATCATCAAGCATCAGAATGAGGAAACAATGTGATAACCAGACTGGTTCGAGCTGACAGGAAGTTTACAAAAACTCAATGAAGGACATTGGGAAAAAAACATTGCCTGGTGTACAGGTGTTCCTATTAAAGTGGCCAATGCACACTCATCTGGGTGACAACAAATAGTGCAATAATAAATAATTCCCTTCTATAACTGTGTACTGCATGGTCAACAAGTGTAATTGTGTAAACAAGAAATTCATTATAGTTTTCACACGAAGTCTATTTTGTTGAAGTTCTCAACTGTTCACTGATGGAGACTTGAGTGCAAAACTGTTTGTGGCAATTGCAGTCCTAAAGTTATCATAGCAGCTGTAGTCCTAAGCCATCGTAGCAAGACTGTTAATATCAATTGCAGTCCAAAGCCATCTTCGTGGTTTTTAAGTGGTGTAGTAATAACTCAGTAATGTTGGGGCTATCTTCAGCAGCAGTGAGTGATTTCCAAGTGATGAGAACTCCAAATAGAAGTAGGGCATCAGGATGGATCAGACAGGTCCGGAGAGCAGGAGGGGTCAGGATCACTGGTATCTCAGGAGTAGCATGTGTAGCTCAACAGAGAGAGAGAGAGAGAAAGGAAGAGGGTGAGAGAGAGACTGTTAGGTATGCTGATTGTCATGTAATGGTTAAGGACAATGTACTTTGCGTGCAGAGTGCAAGCAGGGACAGCATAACTAAAAGGAAGAGCCAGAAGGTAACACAGACATGAGAGTGCCCTGGGACATAAACCGGCCAGCCACTTCACTGTCAGCAAACCTGAGTGAATGCGTGGGTGGGGGGGTGACAGCATCCAAACATCCCAGGTCACCACAACACTCTATGCCAATGAACCCTCTAGATCTGCTCCTTTACCTAAGAAAAAAACTATTCACAAAAGGCTTGACTAAACAATTTTGTTTTCAGCCTAGACCTAAAAACACTGAGACTGTGTCTGAGTCCCAAATACTAATTGGAAGGCTGTTCCTTTGTTCCTTTGTAACACTAATTGGAAGGCTGTGGGGCTTTGTAAGAGAAAGCTCTGCCCCCCACTGTAGCCTTCACTATTCGAGGTACAAACAAATGCCCTGCACCTTTTGATCGAAGTAGGCGTGGCGTATCAAAAAAGACCAAAATTTCACTCATGTACTGGGGCATGAGACCTTTCAGTGCTTCATAGGTCAATAATAGTATTTTTATAATCAATACAAAATTTGTTTGGGAGCAGTGTGGATAAGATAGAGTTGATGTGGTCATATCTTCTGGTTCTAGTAAGGACTCTTGCCGCTGCATTCTGGACTAACTGGAGCTTGTTTATGCATCTACTGGAATGTCCAGACAATAAGACAATAAGGCATTACAATAATCCAAGCTGGTGTCTCTCATCTGGCTTTGTTGAAACATACAACTGTAAGTCATCAGCATAACAGTGGAAGCTAATAACATGTTTACAAATGTAATAACCTGATTTACATCAGAT